GAGGATGAAAAAAAAAAAGTTTTTAACTTTCACAAGGTTTTATTTAGGGCACAAAAAAAAAAAAAAAAAAAAAAAAAAACTAAACAAACAACAACAAAAAAAAAACATTAAAAAAAAAATCAGAGTTGGAAAATATTCATATAAACGTGGTAGCAATTTTCTCAGATATAAAACACACTACTGTAAAAAAAAAATAATAACTAAACAGTAGATAGTAGAAACTCCAAATAAACACAACATATAAAACAAATAAAATAATTTTACCAGCAGCATTTTAACAGCTTGAAGCAGAAAGCTGTTGCAGTACGTTAACAGTGTGAACACTGATGCACCCAACCCTAATGTACCCCAGATCTCAGTGTGATGGAGTTGGAGACGGTTTTTGCCAATGCAAGTTGACTGTGGTTTCTCACAAAAAGTTCAGAATCCAGAGGCAAACATCCAGGAGAAGCTTCTCTACTTCGAAAAGATCAAATTAGATGTCAAACTGAATGTACAGGATTCTGGCGTAGGTGTCTTTAAAGCCAAGACGAGCAAGTTCTTTGCAGAGAGGTGGATGCTGCTTGCTCAGTGGCGCATAGGAAACGATTAGGAAAAGACTGAGCTGACAAAACGCAAGCTGAGGCGTCAAACCTTTAGTGGATAACGGCGTCTGATGAATTTCCCAGCAAAGCAAATGTTGAACTAAACTGAGGAATATCAAAGTGATTTACAAAACAGAAAAAAGAAAAGTCGCTAAAGAAAACAAACCTCACAAGCAGTATATATATATATATATATATATGCTGCTTTAAATGTAGCGCAAGCCTGCTGTAAATCTGTGGACCTGAAATTATATCTTGACTAAAGATGCTGAAGTTTCTAAGCTATCCTACAAATGTAGCCATTTTTTTATCAGAAGCAAAAAAAAAACTTCTAGTAGTTTTTTTTTCTTTCTTTTTTTCAGACTTCCAAAGGATCCCTTGAGAACCAGAGACATATAAACAGACACTGATGAGTAAAATCATGAGTGAACTTACAAGCAACATGAAGACTGGCCTCTCTGCTGATGATTGTGCCAAAAGAGTTTGATGCGAAGCACTGATAGATGCCCACATCTTCGTCTTTATTCAGATTGGTGATGTGTAAGTTCCCACCCATGAGGGAGAAACGTGAGCCTGGCATGGGCAGGATGAAAGAATCATTCAGCATCCACCTGTGAATGACAGCAGTCACACGTTTAACTGTTCGTCTCTGACTCTGATTTAGTACTCTCTCTACACAATGTGGTGCCAAGAGTCTGATCAGTAATAACTCAGTAGAAAGGAGTGTCTCAAAAGTATTTAACAAATATATCGAACAGCTCATCATTACAATAAATCTTCTAAATAAGTTGTAAATGACAAAATATGCTTTATTTATCACTCTAATATTAACTAAACCCATAAAAATGTTTTTTTTTTTTTCAAATACACATGGCCACAGTCTCATCAGTGCTCATTGTATTTTTAAAGACCTCATTTTGTTGAGAAAAGTAGAAGAGAAGAAATGTAATCTGAGAAGCAGACTGGCATACTGAAGGTTTGTGAATCTTTTAAACAAACAAACAAACAAATAATATGTAGGTTCATTATGAGAGCAACATTGTCTTAAATCAAGGGTGGGAATCAAGTCTGGTCTCTTTCCATAATGTTCAGGCATAAGGCGTAATATGAGAACAAAAGGACACTTCCCAAACCTGTAATCACAATGTCACTGGTTATGCCTCTCAGCTGCTGTTTTGGGCCCAAAGTCGTTTTGCCTGCTTGGACTTGACTCAGACAAAAAGCCTTTTCATGGTTTTCATGGGATGTTAAGATGATATCCCAGATTTTAAATGTGTCATGGGAATTATGGGAAATCGTGGAGAATAATCAGAAATTGGAGGTAATTTAAACAAACCATATGAAGTCTAGACATAAATATAACCATTTATGTTGCTTTTTTTATTTTACATGCATGCAAAGGAATGCAAGTAATACAATTTTACCAGGTTAGCTGAAAAAAAAGTTCACACTATTTTGTTTATAAATAATAAACATATGACTGTGCTCCAAAAAGGGGTGTAGATTATTTTACACAATAAAATTATGCTTGGCTGATGTTCAGTAAGTGCAGCAAAATGAGAGTTAAAAATTAACTATAATACATCTACAACCTAAAAATAACTACATATGACTGACCAAGTACAGAAACAAAGTTAATGTTGTAGCTTCTTTTAGTATTGAATAATTACCTCCTTTACACTGAACCACAAATATCTGCTTTATCCAAAACAAGATTTAGATTTATCTGTAACTTAAATTTCCACTATACCATTTGCTGTGGTTGGCTTACATTGCAAAGAGAGAAGAGCGATGCTGGCAAAGACAACAACAACCAAAAACAAAGTAGCAAAAGATGCTCATCTATAAATGAATATGGATTGTCCCTCCTCTTGATGACATTATCGCCACCCTCTTTCAGCTGATGGGATTTAAACAAAAACAGGCACAGGGCTGAGTTGAAGAATAGTGGGAAGAGGAAGACATATGCAGTGCACCAGACTGGCTAATTAGACTGATTTAGTGATCACAGCTGGAAGTGGTCCAACAGCTCCAGATGAGACAAAACAAAGGGGGACACAGATCAGCTGGAGTGAAGGCTTTATGTTGCCTTACGATTGCTGGACCATAGAAAACAAATGGAAGTGTCCTTGGTGCCCCTGAAATACACCTGCCTGTAGCTGCAGGAGTTTAGAGCCACTCTGGAACTGCAGCAGAATTTTACAAGGGTCCAAGAGATTACAGCTAAAAAAAAAAAAAAAAAACTAAAGCTAATGGTGAGATTACTCAAATGTCAGATTGATCTGTAGTTTGAATATTTGAATGAGAATGATATTGTAGGCATTACATACTGGGATCATTGAAGCATTAGTTATAAATCATTTGGACAAATTCAGGAACTGAACTCAGAGAGGCAGCACAATATTTACATTTTCTGTTTTCATTTTTCTAAAACAGTAAAAAAAGAAACTACTTGAGTGCTTCAATTTCATTTTTATTGTTACTTTCTGCACATTAATCGTAAAACTGACCACATTAACATGCATTCACATTCACATTGTGATGCTCAAATTCAGCCTGTCGCACAATAAATGCCAACTTTTAAATTCAGCATTTAATTATACAGACAGGAAAGCAACAGCTACCTAGTCCAATGCGATGGATAATACTTTAATAGGTTACACAGATACTTATTTATTTATATTTTGTCAGAATTCCTCATTCGTCATTGCCATTGTTCTGGCAAAAGAAATCATTCATCTTTGAGGGTCACAGTGGCTGGAGGGCTTTAACGGCATGTCCAATGCACCAAACCAGGTCAACATTATTGTTTTTTCTGTACCATCATGACCCACCTCATTCGCATCATGCGGTATTGTTGATGTCCGTCACATCTCATCACATATTTAAGTGTGTTAATTTGAAATAAGCATTTTCATTCATCATCATTTATTTATTAAAGAGAAAAGGCAATCCAAATAAACCTAGAGCTATGTGAAAAAATAGTTACCAGTGTTACTACTGTTGGCAGAATTGTGGAAATTGAACCATCCTGGAGAGTGTTCCAGTGTGAACAGCCTGTTTGCGGTTACACCACGGCATGCCAATTCAATTTAACTCTAGACTTTGATTAGCCCACTCCAAATCATTCATTTTTATTCATTTTCTTCTCTCTTTTTTAACCATATAGAGGAGATGGGGTGTTGTGAATCAGTGAATTTAGATTACAAACTAAGAGCTGCATGTTTTCATCCAGTTTTTGTTTCTGTCGGAGAGCAGAACGCATGGTTCCATCAACTCTCCAGCAAGTCATCCGGGTTCTGAAGAATCAAAAGTAGCCCCAAATTATCACATTGCCATGGAGATGTCGGACTCAGCATGTCTGTGGTCATTTTTTATTTTACCAGCCAATATTGGTATGTATCACAGAAAGCTCTCGGTAAACTCTGTACATCAATGCCTCACTGCCATTGTAAATATGCAAGACAGCAATAACTAAGGGGGGGATTGAATTAGTCATTCCTTTATTAACCATCACTGAGAGTGAATCTAAGCTCTGCAGGCGGAAAGCCATTGTGAGCCATATGGTACACAAATCCCCACTTTTCCTCAAGCAATAAATCCCATCTCTACAGGCCGTTAGTGCAAATGTTGCACTTGGTAGCCTTGAGGAATTACCTGGAGCCTCCATGTAACAACAAACACGATGCGTGCATGAAGCCATGTCTGCAGGCATTACCTGTAGAAGGGCGGCGGGTGTCCTTGGGCCTCACAGCTAAACACCACCTCTCTCCGATTCTCGCCAGGCTGAATGGGAAACACCACACTGCCTGGTTGCTTAGTGAATACGGGCCTTAGCAGGACTCCGCTTCCTGGGAGGAGAACAGACAAAGACTACGTCAGATTTGATTTCCAGCAGAGTCTGAAAAAGCACTGCAAACATCTCTCTGTTTGCAGACACTGGATGTTTAGAGAGGAAAGACGAGGAGAAAGAGGCTTGAAGAGGAAAAATGTGAATAACAATGCAGCAAGTTGACAACTGGTCCATTAGGAACGGGGTACAACATATTAATAATAAATAATTGTTCCACATTGTGAACCAACCTGTGGATTTTGACCCTTTACATTTTTTCCATTTATCTTTTAAGTTTATTTGTGTAGCACATTTCATCAACAAGGCAGTTCAAGAAGCTTTACATCATAGAAACACAAAAATACAAAGTTCATCTACTACTATTATTATTTAATCTAAGAAACAGGGTCATTTGGACACCACAAACCTTATACCCTGTGCATGGTATGGCGGGGTCATTTTTACAAGATTTTTTTGTGTGTGTGTGTGGTTTCGGGAACTGGCTCCCTTATGGGAAAACCTCTTACTTCTCCACCGTCTGACCGTGACATCTGCCGCACTCTTCCTGAGTGTTGCTAAGACCACGTGAAGATTAATCAAAATAATCTCCTTTTTCAGACAAAATCAAACATTTGTCTCAAAAACATTATTTCTCAACTTAAAACACATCTTGGATGTTTTCATAATCTGTCTACATAGCATATCTAATGAAGCAATTCCATTTAATGTGCAGAATAGCGCTCGGCAAAAAAATTGCTTCAACTATTTCTGTTTTTCCATAAAGTCGTACATCAATGAAATTATCCAGCATTGGATGGTAAAAACTATTCAATAATTTTTGACGTCATTTAGCTTCTCAGCTGTAGTGTAGCTGCAGCAAAGTCTAACAATTTTAAGCAACCCAGTATTATAATATATTGAAACAACCAAAGTCAGAGCACTCAAAATTAAAGCAAGAGAAATACGCATTGCAAACCAGTTTCAAGCTGTTCTGTTCTTTACGGTGTAGAAAACCAAGTTCAGTTCAGTTGTGCATTGAAATAAAGTTCTGATATATTTTCATTAATAGTAAAGGTTAATCCAATCTAGCTCAGAAATCCAAAATCTGACCCAGATTGTCTCCGGTGTTGTATGTACTCCTGCGTAGTATCAACCCAAAAGCTGAGGTAATCACCAAGCAGAAGGGAACACAGCACCAAAGATAAAACATGACTATTCTACCAGATCAAAAAAAAAAAAAAAACATTAAACGCTTGCTCTGATGAGCATTTGTCAGGGCTACAATCAATTTTAATGTATTAAAACTTTATTGCAATTAATCACACTTTTTTACATGCAAACTTTCCATCTGGAACCTTTTTCATTTGAGCGTCTGTGGTGCACTGACATGCACAAACAACAGCACTGATCGCTAAAACCTCCGTGATCTTTCAGATACTCACTGACCAGTTCTAAATTCAAAGTGAGAAGTCTCTGGACATCTCAAAAACCTGCACATAAAGATAGGCCAGTCCAATTTAGATTTTTGAAGTGATCTTTGGGCAAGCAGAACTGCTGTTGTTGCCAAGATGACTATCTGTCCAGCCAACAGAGACTAAAGTGCCAGCACCTCTTCTCACAGAACTTAGGTTCTGGTTTATTGTCCAATTCTTTAATCTCAGTAACAACTTGCTGTGTGCCCAGGAGGCTTCCAAATTGTTGAGCTCCTTTTTAATCTCCTTTCAAGCTCTTTACACTTAAAGTTACATATTAGACACTTTGGGCTATTCAAATAAGTCTGGAAGTAACCTTTCTCTAGACACCTGAGAACCAAGTGGGTTCTTCATAACTTAAAGCTTTATTTCATATAAAAGAAGCTTTCAGTCCATTCTTACATTTAGTTAATAAGAAGGATGGAGTCTATTAGAACATGAATCAGAAATATAATAGGGGGAAAATATCTATAATATTTATTATACTTATTTTAACTGTATTTTAATCACAACATTGTGAAAAATGTGCTCTCCTTTGAAACGTAAGATTTAAAATTTAGAGTACATTAATGCAATCTAAAGTAGGTGGTTATTGCTACAATTTCTACTAATTTCTAAAATCTACCACATCTTCGAAGCCCCAGAGTAGCCAACTGGTAACTAGGAAACTGTAACATAAAGATCTAAATATAAAATTGTTGTTAAAAAGTTTTATGGAAGTATTTTCACAGACAATTCAAATTTATAACCCACAAGCGTGCAACCCAATTTTTGCAGGTCATGCACAAATGCCAGAGAGCAGTGGGCAGGATTTCAACTTTTTTTTTGTTCCATGCTTTCGAATACAATTAAATTTAGCTGTGTGCCTGACGGTCAGCTTCTGGATTATACAAATAAATGCATGTGCAGACACTGTGTAAGAGCTGCCTAAGGAGAAGTCAACAAATAAAAGCTATCCTTTCTGAAAAGGGAATTCATTTGGGTTAGTTAGAGAGTTTTTGCATTTATTAAATAGCCCAACAGTAGAAATATTCAACAGTTAGAGAAAGTCATTTGTATGAGAGGCAGATATCATTTTCAAGTCTCGGGGGTGTAGGGTGTCTGTCTTTCACCTCAAAACTCAGATTAACTCCTTTTTTTAAATCTGTGATGATGTCTGAGAAGGAGCCCTGAAAAAAGATTATTTCTCTCCACAAGGACAAATGGGGGGGGAAAAAAATGTAAAAATAAGTATCCACCTAATTATCATCGTCTGTCATACAAAGCGTTTTTCTTCAAGCTGCAATAAGAAGTGACAGATCACCAGAAGAGAGCTCCTCTGCAGGCAGTGCACCTGCTATGCAAAAGCCTAAGGGGGGAGATAAAGCCTGTGGCAATTATGAGCTGGATCACAAATGTGTCATTTTAAACCTGAAAAATTTTTCTTTTTAAAAAAAAAAAAAAAAAAAAACCTTCATCACTGATGGAGGGAAGTACACATTTAGCCATTCTGCTTTAATTTTCATTGGAGATGGATTGAGAAATTGGCTAAGGACAGGAGTCTGATCAATTTCAGCTCAATATGTCCTGATCAGTGATTTGATAGTTGAAAACCTCATTATCTAATAGTTGTCTGGTCAACGTACGCACTATATGCAAGAGCTACAAGGTTACAGTGACAACACTCATCTCCGTGGAGTTCTCTGTGATTAAGGAAAGATTAGTAAAGTTAGCTACTTACAGCAGTAGTAAGTTGATTACAATAAAATCAAGGGAAACTCAGATGAAGCTAATGAAGGATGCATGATTAAACTATTTGCTATAGCATGTTGAGACCCCTCAGCAGTTCATTTCAGCTTTAAGAGAGTAAGAGAAAGACAAACTTTCAGTGGATAACAGGAAGGCTGAGCTGAATACGGCAAAGCTGTTTTGAGCGTTCAACCTTTGCATGTTTTCGGAACCTCTAGGATTAAAAAGTGTTGGTAGCCGATTAATTTATGTTTTCTTTTTTTTGTTTTTTTTTATAATAGTTCGAAGTTACTATCAATGCTGAAATTGATCAGACTCCTGTCCTTAGCCAATTTCTCAATCCATATCCAATGAAAATTAAAGCAGAATGGCTACACGTAGTTAATGGCTTCACAGTTGTGACAAAGATCAAGGCAAAAACATCCGTATTGGTTTACATAAGTCTAAGGTTATCAGATAATTAGATTGGAAGTAAAAGCACTGCAGTGTATTCTGTGTGGAAAAAAAACACATGGAAAAATCTGAAAACAGAACTCCAACTTTGACATCTGCAATTTAACTCAAAACCAACATTGATTCTTTGAACGACTTCAGACGTAGTAAAATATTTCTATCATGAAATTAAACAAGCACAAATAAATACAACATACTGTACAAATAAACTAAATAAACTTAGTAATATTTCAATCACTTATAACAACAAAAATATCTCACTTAATGTCTGTTCATTTTAATGTCAAGTGTTTAATTTTATATCCATGTATTTCGCTGGTCCTATTTTTTTCATTCTGTTAATAAAATAATTGTGAATTTGAACACATCTTATTAAACACATGCTATTTTCTTGTTGTCTTTTAAATATACTATCTGGTATGATTTCATTTTCCATTTCTTTACAGGTCTTTGATCTAAAAGACTTTTGGTTTTGTAATTTGTGGTAATTTTCTCCTTTTTATCGTGTCCATAAAGTTTTGTTGCATACTGTTTTTTGGGTTTTTTTGAATCTTCATTTCTGTATATCAGTTCATCATCTGCTTATTTATTCCGTGCTGTTCATTCCCCAACTACCATGCCTGTTTGCTCCTGGACTCGTACTCTGTGTGCCTTCTTGCTTGGTTCCCTGCTGTTTTCTCTCCTTTCATCTTACCTCTAGTTTTTCATTGTAAGCTCATAAATAACTTAGTTTTCTTTATCTTTTTTTAAAAATTACTCTCTAAATGATCCCGACAACCTCCTCCCAGTGTTTTTGTCAAATTGTGTCTTCTTAGTTACTGTGCCACACTACATCATCTCTGCATTTTATGATACAGAAACAAGAAGGGAATCCACAATCAGGTATTAGGAGTGCTGGGAATATCTGCTTATACCAAATAACAAATGTGTCTACTTTCCAAAATTTATTAGTACAAAATGACACTGAATTGGAGTGATCTGGAACCCTCAGTTGGTTGACGGCACAATGCCACAGGCCGGAAATGGAGGTCTTTGTGAAATAGTGTCTGAAGAGGGGGAAAAAAAGGCTAACTCTACCCTTATCTGTCCCCTGCTGCCAGATGGTGATATGTGCGTGCGTTCCAAGGCTCATCGGACAACAAGACTCGGCACCGAGGCAAGTTGTAGGCAGAGCGAGCTGTTTTAGAGGTCGAAATAAAAACTAATCTCAAATTCAATACCAGCTGACAGCAGATGGATTCCTTTAGCTTACCTTAGCATGAATAAACAGGCCCACGAGGAGTCAGCTGAGGGGGAGGTACGGAGCACTTTTGAGTCCCTGAATCAATTCGTTTCAGCTTAAGGTTTTAGACATCAAATGAAAAAA